GCGGGGATCCGGGGATACTACCCACGCGAGTTTGAAAGCGACCAAAGGAAACGGATTAACGCGACAGGGGCAGTGGGAGAGCGGGAGTCGGGCGCTCTCTTTCCCCAAAGTTGCAGGATGCTCTGGGCGCCTTTAAAACACTGCGCTGGATGTTTAGGAAGAGAGGAGTAAACCGTGCGAGAGGGTTGATTTTCACCTCCCATGGGAAGGAGGCGGGGTGTGGACGGGAAAGGTCCTCTCAGGGTCCCCTTGGCCTCCATCCATTCTCTCTGAGAGGTCCTAGGAAGGTGCTCGCTTTGGTCCGCCACAAGGGTGCCTACTCTGAACAGACACAGCTGTGTACTGAGAAGTTGCTGTAAAGGGATCAAGGGGGCCTTGCCTTTCCCACCTAATTCCCAGCCCCGCGTGAACCTGGGGGAAGTTTCCACCAGAGCTGGGCGGAACCAGAGAAACGGGTCAAGGCCGAGGCTTGACTGTAGATGCGCGATTCCTTGTCCTTGGGTTCTGGGTCTGAAGCTGCGATGGTTAGAACTCCACGCAGAGTCCCTAGAGATCATCAGGGTGAAGCCACAGTTTGAATCATTGCCACGCTCCCAAATCGTTAAGTAGCCACCCAACTTTCCTCGTTCTCTGAAGTTGTCCCGGGGATCAAAAATAGAAGACCCTTTCTGTGGAGGAACCAAATGAGAGGTCTTCAAGAGGTTCTGGGATGGCTCAAGTTTTCCCTGGAGCGTTTGTCCCTTAGGAGCGACCCGGCCATCTTTGGGGCAAAGTGCCTGGCTCGGTGCCCCTGCTGCGCTCTGCACAGCCCGGGAGTGCCCTCCCGCCGCCCGCCGCCTCCGGGCTGGAGCAAAATGTGCAATGCGCTCTCGCCGAGACCGGATCCGCTGTCAGCCGTGAGACGTCAGGTGCGCACTGCAGTGACCGCAGGAGCAGCCAGCGGTTTTGCCCCAGCCAAGTGGCAGTGAGTTTTTAATGCAGGCGTCTTCCTGAATAGTGTTTGATCTCCGAGTTGCCTCTAATTCGTTAAAACACTTGCTTCAAATGGAAAGAGTGGAGGGTGGGAAGCAGGAAGTAAACAGAATGGGAGAGAAAGATCCCCTGCTCACACTTTTAAACTTCAGCTTCTTAAAGTTACTAAAAGTAGGATCAGCCCTGGTTGAAGCAGCAGAAAGTTTCGTTGCATTCTTGAATCTCCAGTGGAAGCTTAACAGAATAGCAGAAAGTTTGGGATCTTGGGCTACTGCCTGCGGTTTAAAAGCCTCAGGAATTCCCACATTTGAAACTTAGAATTCTAGCTAATCAAACAATAATATATAGGTATTCTTAACTAGGAGATGGATTTAACAACAAGTAGAATAATTAAAATAAGTAAAGATGCAGCATGTTGCTAATTAGAAGATAGAACAGGAAATTTTCAGGGAAGGACATAGCATATCAGCTTCCAGCACCTTTTGCAAAGGCCCTTTTTTCAACAGAGAAGTTTGAAAACACCCTGTCATCACAAAGGAATTACATAACTGGATCCTAATTATGCATGTTTCAGAAACAGTGATTCCTCATTAGGAATGACTGTTCCTGAAACTGTTAAGTTCAGATTAGTCGTGTGGGAATAAGCAAGTCATTTAGGAAGGAATGGTTTGAAAACAAGATTGTAAAGTGGCAGGTATGCTGGTACATACGAACCTTCCAAGTTGGGGCACAATTTTGCTTCCAAGTGTTCAGTGTCAAGGGCCAGTTAGTAATGCTGTCTTAGCAGGTATGACAGCTGGCTGACATAGCCAAAGTAAGTAATGGCTATTGGATGTAGCGGGCCTAAGTACTTCTTCCTTGATTTCCTATTATATTCTGTTCACAGCTCCAGGGTAACTTTCCTTCACATTCTAATGGCATTGGTGGGTTTGCAGTTCTGTCTCCTTTCTAAATTCAAAAATCTCCTTCGGAGCAGGAATTTTGTCTTTCTTTCCACAGGACCCAGCATGGTGCCTGGGAAAATGGCATTTAATACATACATGTAGACCGGATTAATTGTTTTTTAAAGAGTTTAAAATAAGTACCTGTTAAAATCTACATGTTTTAAACTGTCTCATGCCATCTATGAGAAGCAAACAAAATATATACAGTATGTATATTATATTTATATTTATATATGAAATGAAAAGGAGAGGAGAAGAAAAATCATTTCTCAAAAGGAAAACTGTCAATGACTGAGTGGGAGGTTAAGTTGTCCAGAGAAACATCACTTTCTGATCTTATCCTATGAGAATCCTTTCATGTTTGTTAATTGGCACGTATAAGTTTTAAACATTTGGTGTTTGGAACGCAGAACACTGCCCAAAGTGCGTTGCAAATATTTTCCCATTGGTCAGAATGCATAAAATCATTTAAGTTGAGTGTATGCACTTCTGATAAGTTAAGAAACACTCTTAACTAGGGGCGCCTGGGTGGCGCAGTCGGTTAAGCGTCCGACTTCAGCCAGGTCACGATCTCGCGGTCCGTGAGTTCGAGCCCCGCGTCAGGCTCTGGGCTAATGGCTCAGAGCCTGGAGCCTGTTTCCGATTCTGTGTCTCCCTTTCTCTCTGCCCCTCCCCCGTTCATGCTCTGTCTCTCTCTGTCCCAAAAATAAATAAACGTTAAAAAAAAAAAAAAGAAACACTCTTAGCTCAACTTGCCCTGGACTTTGCCCTAATCACTGTGAGGACCGCTCTCACTGCTCCAGGCACTGCCAATATGGCCCAACAGTCTTCAGGACAATGCTTGTGTGACCCTGAAGTTCACCTATGGCCAGGCAGTTCAGTTGTCAGGCACCTTCCAGGGACCAGATGGAAAATTATCTATACTTACACACCAATCCATAGCTACCATGTAGTCCGAACATCGTGTTTACAAAGAAGGAATAGCTCTGTTGGGAGTCAGGGTGGTTTTTTGCTTTTGTTTTTGTTTTTGTTTTTGTTTTTGAAGAGGGCAATATTTTAATATAAGAGTGGCTTTTTATCATATACTCTGTAGCTATTCAAGCCTCTAAACCAAACCCTTTAGCAAATACATGTTGGCAAAATCATGGAGACTCATAATTCTGGTTTACTGGAAGCTTTCTCCAGAGCAAAGCAAGCTCTGATTCAACTCCTCGTTTTCTGCAACAAAAGAAGGAAGAGAAGAAGAAAGGGAAACGGGGGAAGGGGAAGGGAGAAGGGAAGGGGGAAGGGGAAAGGGAAGGAAGGAGGGGAAGGGCAGGAATGAAGATTAAAATTATTTCACGTAGGAAAACAGTATGGAGGTTCCTCAAAAAATTAAAAATAGAGGGGCGCCTGGGTGGCGCAGTCGGTTAAGCGTCCGACTTCAGCCAGGTCACGATCTCGCGGTCCGTGAGTTCGAGCCCCGCGTCAGGCTCTGGGCTAATGGCTCAGAGCCTGGAGCCTGTTTCCGATTCTGTGTCTCCCTTTCTCTCTGCCCCTCCCCCGTTCATGCTCTGTCTCTCTCTGTCCCAAAAATAAATAAACGTTAAAAAAAAAAAAAAG